TGAAGATGTGTGGACTTCAACTCCCAGAATTCTGGAAGTTGAAGTCCACACATCTTCAAGTTGCCAAGGTTGAGAAACACTGCTATAGAGGATTTGCATTCCTGGACCTTTCCCCATATTGGCAGGCATTCTTGCCTCACGTTTCTGAGCTCCTGGTCTCTCACCTCTTCCCCACAGAGGTGAAGTTGCTGTGGTTTCATGTTAGCGTTGCTTCGCTATTTTACTATTTACTATTTACAAGGGGAGGAATGGTGCCATGGTTGCAGGGTCCGCTTGCGACATCTCAGCTAACTCTGTTTGCAAAGGTGCCTGCCAAACTCAACAGACCTTGGATGGAAGCAGACGCTTGTGCTGATAGATCAGCAGGAGGGAGAATATGGTCTTCTCACTGTTTCAAGGGTGGCTGTGGTGATGGCAATTTTGGGTCAGCATGACAACATTCCTAAGGATTTGGGGAGTGAAAACACATTGGATACATCATCCCCATCCACTAAATTATTTCCTTTCTGATGCAGAATAAAGGAGGGATCATCTAGTATCCTACTTTCCACCTCTATTTCACTGTTGTTGTGTACAAAAGAAGTTTGGCATCCCACTGCCTTTGGGATGGTCTGTGCTAATTACCCACAATATTGCTTCCAGTGGCTTTGGAAAGTTCTGCGCCTTTTGAAATATAAATATATAAATCACGTAGACTGTTGATACTAACTCCTCTGCCTTTTTATCCCTTGCCTGTTGCTCGGGTCTCTCTCCCACTCCTTGTTTTTCTCCCATTTTGCCAGCCAACTGTTTTTAGTAGTAGCTGATATTTTATAAATAAGCATCAAGCTATATTTTTTTACTAACTGAAATGAGTGGTGTACGTGCTTGCTCTGATATGTGTATAGGGATTGACTGGGAGTATGTTAGGTATATACTAACTTGGACATTACTCACAGTAGTTTTCCAAGGAAAGGGTGGTAGAGTGGAAGGAGTCTAACTAAGGGATCATGAACTTGACTTGATCAGGTTATCTGATAAAACTCAAGTTATGGAATAGAATTGTCTTTGCTTTCCCCAAAGGTTGATGGACAAGGAAGGATGGATAAAAAAAAAAAAATACTCAGAAGGGCAGGAATGATCTATTATTAAGGGGGGGGGAATGAATTAAGCCACAATAGCAGCTCCAGGAGTTTTCAACTGCAGTGTTATTAGTCACCAAAATTCTAACATTTCCTGCAGCTACAAGGTGGATGCCTCATATTTGTTCTAAACACAGTATGCACAGAGCTGAAAGTTTAGTTTCTGAAGTGTTTAATTGGTATATTTGCGTACTTGTCTCAATGGGACGGCATATGAGTTATAATTATATGTGGCTGGCAATTTTACTGGGGATCATCTAACCTCAGCTGAAACATTGCAACCCTAGTCCAACTGCTGTTGATTTAGCTGCTCTGACATCTCAGAGGGCCTGAGAAACAGGAGCTTGTGCAGCCAGACTGAAGGGCATTGTTTTAGTACATGGTTTTGTACCATGTGTGTGTGTTTCACATAATGTATAACATCCATTTAATAGGGCATTTTATTTTACATTATGTTTAAACCTTGCAACTTGCTTTTTGCCTTTTAAAGAGCACAGCATTCCCCCCCCCCATTTCCCTTTAGAAACAGCCAGCCGTTAGATGCCTGACTGTC